GCCCTTATTCGTAGACCACCATACAATTGCGAATAACTCGCAAACTACTGCAGGTATTGCATTCTTTCAATTTCAACCTAATCAGCGCCTAAAACTTGTCCTGAGCAGCCTATTTTTGTGCTACTTTACGCAGTATTCTAGCCTTAGGAAAGGTTTTCCTTTTTCTGAGATTTACTCAGTTTGGAATTTTGTGTCGGAAATCAATATCAGCGCCCGAAAAGTTTAGTTATATTTCTTTGTTAATTTGTATTTTTCTAGTGAAACACGCCGCCTTAGTATATTTCTCAACAAATTCTTTTTATTTTTCTCTGCATTTCTTGAAATTATTTTTTAACCTTTCGTATACTTTATAATTCCGCCACTCTCATCTCTTCCATGTGCGCACCATGAATTGTGGCGACTGAGCGAGCCAAAAAGTCCAATGAATTTAAAGTGAGTATGTGTTGAATGGGCTCCTGTTCCAAAGATAACCGGCACAACTACGGCTCTGCGCAATTTTCACAACAAAGGAACAAGGAGCTCAATATCACCCGAAGGAACCTGAAAAATTTCAAGGTGGGCGCCAGCGATCCCATCAGCTGTACACCGAACAGTGCCAGCGCATTTCTAATTACCAACGCGAAATATACCTATTTATTTATTTACTTATATAACTGGCCCAACGAAACCAGTTTGTTCAAGGGGATACCCTCAGTCCCCAAGATGCGACATTGAACGTCGTTACGAGTAGCACGACGTTACCACGAAACACGAACAATCCTCGTTAAGCAACGGGTATCGAAGGTAGAAAGTTGACGCATGTCTTCCACGCGAATCGGCCAGGAATCTCACTAATATAGCCATACTGAGCGAACTAGTGCGTTGTAAACGCGGCCCTTTAGCGAGAATGGGACGTCGCGACGCCGCCACAAGTGCCTCAGATGGACAAGTGCTGATCGAGCATTAGCGAAATAAAGAGAAAATTCTTTTTTAATAATGCCGTCAGCAGAACCACAGCTCCCGAGTTAGACGAAACTTTCTTGTGCATGTAAGTAAAGCGGCCCCGGCGCTTCGAGGTTGGATTGACTTATCTTGCTTCTGCAAAGGAAGGAAGCAAGAACAAAAAGCAACCTTTACAATTCCTTATTTTAACAACAGGATATATTACATATTCTAGTACAATTACAATATCAATGGGAAATGGTCAGGGAGACGCTCAGCTTAGCCCGTTTTGTATAGGCCTATGGGTTCGCATTCTACTAACCCAGAATGAAGTTTATGCCAGATGTTAACTACTGGGTTCGTAAAACCTTTTGCCCCCATGTCCAAAAGGGCTCTATGTTGTTTGGGATTCAGGCGCTGCTTGCGCAGGTGCCCAGACGTGGCTGCATTAAAAAGCTGTGTGGGGCTACTACCATTATCTCCGTTAACTATCTTAAGCCAATCTGCCAATATCCTCAACCAACGCCGTTCCAGGGAAAGTAAACGGAAGCTACTTAGGTGCTCTGCGCACGACTTCACCCTTTGAAATTTGATCATCCTGGTTGCAAGCTGTTGAATCTTTAATATACGCATAGCCCCACTGCGGAGGTAAAGTGCCCTGGACACACTACTCCAGATGTGGCCTAACCAATGCTACATATAACAGCAAGAATATTTCCGCTTTAGTGATACCCAGCTTCCTCCCAATACAAAACCACTCGTTTCGCGCTTTAGTGGAAGCATGGCGGCCTTGTGTCCAACGCTTAAAGCTGTTCACTTGCGTACACCTAGATCGCGAGTTTCATCAGTACATTGTAATAGTAGAGGTCCCGCAGGAGACTGCACTGCAATTCCGCCATCACTATTGGACAACCGTTGATATTTTTGGCCTTCAGAGGTATATACCATTGGCTCGACCAATTCACCACAGTGCTGCGGTCCTTAACCGATATCGCTCGGCTTCCTTTACTGACTAGCTTTAAGTCATCTGCAAAGACAGCAGTGCTGCAAAAGAAGAGGAGCCTGATCCTTTATAAACATAAGAAACAACAATGGACACAGTACCGAACCTTTTAAGCTCCGATGTAGGCAAGGCCCAGGATAGAACTCGCTTCCTCAACTCTGACGCTGAATCACCTTATACGAAAGAATTCAGCGAGCCACAGCAAAAATTGCGGGTGGAACCCAAACCATATCAGCGTCTCAAATAAACATCGCTGATTCACCTAGGCAAAGGCCCTACGGAAGTCCAAATAGCATACCACTACCGACATCCCACTCGCACGACATTAGCTACTCTCCTCTAAACAGTATAATACATAAGTAAGACATGAGCTTCCTTTAAGCATGCCTTGCTGTTCCGCTGTAATAAGATTGTGCACGGGCAAGTGCTCACAAATCCTGTTTCTTATAATCTTTTCCAGGCACTTCAGGGTTATGCTGGTCAAACTAACTTGTCCATGTTTAGGAGGCACCGACTTCGACCCCTTATGTATGGCAACAATGGACGCCTCCTTCCAATCACATGGCAGCTTGCCTTTTTGAAGCGACGGCTTGCATTAGCCCGCCACAAGCTACTGGAAGATAGCAGCCACTTGCTTAACTTTGGCAGGATGTACATTGTGGGACCAGCTGTATTAGTAGGGAGCAAGCTACGCAACAAGCTGGAGCGCCGTGACACTGTACTAATAATTTCGCTGTTGCATAGCTACTTGAGCAGTGCAGCGCTGAGGTAAAGGCTGACCCACTATCTTTCCGATGCAGTGGTGGAAAGATTTGTAGCAGCACTTCAACGTTATTGACGTCGTCCGCCGCCTTGCCGCTATCCTCCACGGTTAGACAGCCGACCGCCTCCCTTCGCGAAGTGGTTAATTTAACCTCACTGTAATAACACCTGGAATGTAAATAAATAAATAAATAAATATTTTATTCTCGACTATGCGAGGCACGCCAATTGAGGCATGATCAGGTATGTACAGCTGTACAGACATTTTATGGGAACTGTAGTGACAGTAGAAACTTGTTCATATGTCCATGCTTGGAACTGTGCAATAGTGAACATGCGAAACAACGATTTGGTTGTAGTGGGATCGGGATCCATTTGTTTGGACATAATCGCTGTGCCATATATCACAGTCATACCACGACTAATAATAGATTGAGAATCCTGAGTGATCCATTGGAAGATAATTGAAGAGCAAGTTATCCAGTATGATGATTCTAATTGAGCTGCCAGTGTGAAGTTATGGGCTGTGACTTTATTCGGTGGCGAGCCACATTCGCCACGTTGCAGTGCTGTTAAACGGACATTTGTGGCTTTTTATAGGAAGAACGCTTGCCAGGCGAAAACCCACCACGTCCTGAAACTCTGCCGCCAATCCATTGAACGGCAAGTTGTAACTGGCTATGTTTCTTGTTGAACGCTTTTTTGCTCCGTTATTCGCAGCCAAGTTGCGTCCCAATTTTCTGCCGACTGATGCGTTATGCGAGTGGCCATTGCGTGCTTGGGTCCTCTCCAGTGCCAGATCGATAGGTCAGGAACTAAGCAGTCTTTCTAAATATGATGTGTTGATCGTCTGCAGAACCACGTGAAGTCTCGAAGAATATACGTTGAAATATGTTGAAGTCTTGGAGGATAGGATAAGTTCTGAAGAAAGAATCGCAGATCCCCCGGGGTATTTAGTAACCTTGATTAGAAATAGGGGAAACCACGGCCATTTGAGCGGTCAAAGCGATTGAAGAGCTTAGAATGACCGATTGTTAAAGCTTTGTATTGGCAGGAGAAT